TGCTTGATATATATATATATATATATATATATATATATATATATGGGTCAGGATGTCTGTCAGTAACGTGATTTAAACCCTGAATATATGACACCTTAAACGGGGGTGTAATTTTTACCTTACCCTCTTGCGCTGGATGCACCTGGATTGCATCACTTAAACAGGGAGGCCGCGTTCATATTTGAGCGATGAGAGTGGTATAACTCCCCCTGTCAGTAACGTGATTTAAACCCTGAATATATGACACCTTAAACGGGGGTGTAATTACTACTTTACCCTCTTGCGCTGGATGCACCTGGATTGCATCACTTAAACAGGGAGGCCGCGTTCATATTTGAGCGATGAGAGTGGTTCGCCATAACTCCCCGAACGACAACCTGTTTGTTGTCCTGCCTTTGTCGACTGATTGATCCTCCTGTCAGGTAGTGCCCCATACGCTTGGAATTAGTCGCAGGTGGTTGCATGAATTATAGAATTTATGCCAAATGACCGGCATTTAAAGCTCGATACGACCAAGGGTTTGTGTTGCCGATGAGCCGCAATAAGAGAGAAACTTGGTGGAGGACCCACCAGAATCATTACGCCGGCGCAGATAACGGACAGTTTGCACGACGGCGATGTGAACGAGCACCTTCTGAAGTCCATTACTTATTAACTAACAAAGTGCATGTTCGGTTCTTCTGAATGGCGAAGTATTCATTACATTATCCTTGAAGCTGTTTATGATGTTTGTTCTGAAATTCATATGTGGCTTCAGGAGGTCAGACTCCTTTGCTTACTGGATACAATTTCGTCGTGGGACAGTAACGTCGCATCAATTGAACAACCTTAAACTGTAAAAACCTGGGAGAGCGTTCAGGGATGTCGACCTTATGGAATCCATGTAGATTCCCGCTTACTGCAAAATAGATAGTCCCCTTCGAGAGGGCGATTGCGCATCTGTGGAAGACTATTCGGTTTGCATAGAACACCCTGGGTTCTAAGGGTTATCTAGATCTGGTCAACTAGAGCATTGTATGAAATCCGTCTATAATATTGATGGCTGAATACATAAACAGGAATTAGGATACATCATTTTGATTGCGCATGTAACCTTCCACGCATTAGCTAGTCTGATCAGAGGAGTTCAGATTACCCGTGGTGAATGCAACACCATCCGTTGTCGATCGATCTGCATGAATCAATAAACACATGTTTCGAACACCAATGGTTCACAGTGGACATAACCAGTTTTTCTACGGTCTGAACTAATCAGATGAAAGTATGTTTACAGTCAGCTTACAGTAAACGTAAAAGTCGGATATATTGACAATACGAATGTCATTTAGTAGAAGAAAGCTGCTCCGACATCAATTTTAAAAAATAAGATTTCACCACAGCAATTACTGGCAATCGTTTGATTAAGCCTTAATAGTTTGTTGGTCGTTGGCTTGTTCGCTGAGCTGGGCATTTTGGTTGCAAACGTTTCATTACCAATCGAGGTGACATCATCAGTGCGTAGTTGTGCGTAGCTGTGGGTTAGTGGTTGTGCTTCTTGTAGTGAACCCGAAGAAAATTTTTCTAGCAACAAAATTGCTGGTTTTCACATTGGTGTGGATTTACTTCCGTTCGTTTTGCCAAGCACATCTCATTCAGTCAGCGTGATAGGCAAAAAAAGAGCCTGAAAACATCAGAAAACCACTCGGGTGGCGCCAACTAAATGATCAACCCCCCATAAGGACCTATTTTGAAACTTGAAATAATCGTTTTTTAGATGGCTGAAAAAATCTTGGATGCATTACTCAAGGAAGGTAGTGAAGGTCTGATCGCCGGTAGATACCGAAAGGTAGATACCACTGCATTCTTTCCTTAAGGGGAGCTTTGTCCGAAGTTACGATCGGATAGATTGTCTGAGTAATGAGCCTCTTCATTAGAACTGATTGGGGTATACGTAAGGTGGCATATCGCGTGGGATTTTGCAGAAACAATAAGGGGCTCGGTGGGCGGAACAGCTGAATGCGGTTTTTACGGGCCTGTTGGTCTTCCTGCTTAATGTGTGCATTTTAGAGCAAATCGCAGATAAACTTCCAACAGCGAAGACTTGTACGATCCATTGTTCATCGCAAGCGCAGAAGTACTGAGCTGAAAAGTGCTGATTCTGACATTAGTTTTCAATGCTACCATTACGGAGAAGTTGATACTGTGGTGGCTAACCTCTAATTAATGTCAAGTAGGTGGACAACAGCTCACTAGCTTCCAGCACGCTTCAGAAAACTTCGCCGATCTCTCCCTCGTGTCTACATCAACTCAAGCCTTCCACATCAAGTAAATGGCAGAAAATCGCTTGGGAGCATAGATATATTGTTTAGAAGATGGGCGCTTCGGCTGGTATTTTCACCACAAGTGCACTCTGACTGGTCAGTAAATGCGGTCGAATAGTTAAGTCCTCTCTATGTTTACATCAGAATTCGTGCTGGAAGAATATGCTGATTTAGTACTGTTATGTCCGAGCTACAACAATCGAACTCATTTCAAATAGTAACCAATACACATTGGTACACAAATGGTGCTAGATGTCTCAAACCACCTAGAAAGTCACCGGCTTATAACCGCGACTTGATTCTGCAATTACAATTGTGGGGATTAGAGTTCAGTAAGCTGATGAATAATCGTCCAACGTCCGTTGTGTAATACGACTGCTGCGCCGAAAAATTGACCTATCTCTTTTACAAAGTGATTGGCGCTGCATTTGACAAGCTTTGGTAACTTCCAATATTGTATCGTTCTAGATCAGTTCTATAGCAGAGCAAAGATGCAAGCAGCCAAATGTTTTCAATCATCTCAAGTATAACTTGCAGCACCTTTCGTGAGACTAGTTTTGTAAGAATCAGTTTGGAGACTTGTTTCACATAAGTCACCCATTGCTAACCGGATCGTAAACACGCTGGCGTTCGGTACTAGGAATACTATCTGGAATCATCTACTGCAGACCTAGAGCTTATTCCGGCTTCAACTAAAATGTCAACAACTCCTGTTTGTAGCCCCTTATGCAGTGACTAGTTTGTCACAACTACATGCGCACTGCGCTCAAGCTGTCGTGAAAAAGCTGTGGATCTTGTGTGCACATGATGCATACACGTTGAGTTGACGCAGAGTGTAGGTGCGGGAAGTTAAGGCTGCATGAAAAAAGGTGAGTGCTGTGCGGCTCTTTCAGTAAATTCACGTGAATACTGTCACTGGAGACGTCAGACCTTTCCTAGACCATTCATAAAGAACAGGTGGCGATCATTATCGTAGCAATCCTTTGTACATGTTCGTTCTGGGAGACAATCAGAAACATTTTATTGGGTTTGTTGAAGAACTCCAGAAATCCTTGAGGATAGTCCAAATGTACTGTTTTCTGAGAAGCACTCCTCGTATCAATAGCGGTCTTGCATTAGGTCACGGTATGAAGGCAGCCATTCGCTGTTTCGTGAAATCTGAATGGATCACAAAGGCGTTGTTGTATGGATGTGAGACTTGGCCTATTCGAGCAGCGGAACTGATGCGTCTTCAGGTGTTCGACAGAATCATAGCTCGTGTGGGTTGGTGTCGGCGAATACGTAACGAGGCAGCTAGAATGCGCGTTTTCGGTTGTGCAACGGGTGCTTGTATTGAAGAATGTGTCCAGCACCAAAAGTTGCTTTGGTTGGGACACGTGTTGCGTATGCCGAACCATCGTTTGCCAAAGAGAGTGCTGTTTCCCATGCCCAACTCAGAGTGGCGTAAACAGAGAGGTGGCCAACCCTTGCCTTGGCAGAGGAGATCACGAAACGCTTGGATGCTGTCGGTGCTACTCGCCTTCCAGGATGGGGACCACGTGATCCTCACTGTACTTGGTTGGAGACACTACAAGATATGGCTGCTAACCGTTGTCAGTTTCTATCCAAATCGCCTGAGTGAACGTCTGGAGGTATAGATACCTCGAAATGATTGTGGTAAGCTGGCACTTTCCCCCACGCATCCACATTTACTCTTTTCTTTACAATAAGGCTTTCAGATAAATCATGGTTGTCAGATAAATCATGGTTGTGCGTCAGTGAAGCATCGATGTTGAACATTAATGTCATGCTGTCGATGATGATGATGATGATGATGATGATGATGATGATGATGATGATAAAGGGAGTCAGTTTTTTCGGTCACAGAAAGTCTCATTCTGTTCGTCTCATAAAATGTGAGTTTGTTTGTCCAAATGTGTATAAACATGCAATACTTGTTTTACTTATTACACAGTACTCACCAACATTAAAACCCTATCCAAACTTCAATGCTCCTGATGATTGCGAACGCTTGCGCAAAGCTATGAAGGGAATTGGTACAGATGAGAAAACTATCATAGAAATCATGGGAGCTCGAACCGCAAGCCAAAGGACTCAAATTGTACTACAGTTCAAGACCATGTACGGGAAAGATTTGATCAAAGAATTCAGTTCAGAACTGAGTGGCCGATTCTACGATTGTGTTGAGGCCTTGTGCTATAGTCCGGCCGAATTCGATGCCAGACAATTACGAAAGGCGGTTAAGGGGATGGGTACGGATGAGAGCGCGCTGATTGAAATCCTCTGCTCTAGAACAAACGACCAAATTCGCCAGATCAAAGAAGCCTACACCAAAGGTAAGCGTACCGTGTATGCTTAATTCAACTAGCAAATACCCACTATCATTTGACCTGTTCGAGAGCACGACCATGTTACCTGATATTTTTCGGTGAGCCAGTAGAGATACAAATAAGCTAGGACTGAGGCTTTACGAGAAAACAGATTGTAATAATGCTTTGCAAATTTTTGCATTCTTCGGTTTTGTTTGTTTATTTCTTTTAGACTATTTGAACCTGAAATCTTTTTGACGTTCTTTAGAAAATCTTAGTTGGCGGCGAGACGTTACTTTCTCGTTGAAACAGCGTTTGCCTTGACAGTACTCCCGGAGGCTGTACAAATGCATAGTACAGTACAATTTCTTTCTAATGTACCTTTATGCCTTCTTGCGTCACCTCTGAATCATCCATACAGACCTGGAGTGGGTCGATTGTAGATACCTAGAAAAGTCAAAGTATCTGACATAACAATGTCCACGCATGCGACTGACTAACCAGAAAAGAGAACACTTGAGATAACGTTTTTACCATCTCTAGGGTAGAATTTCAAAACGGATTTAGGAAATACAGGCATAAATGCGACAAACCGTACTGTCATCATATTAAAAGAAACATTTTAAATAACAATCCCCACAATCGTCTGATCACAAATTATCCTATTTTATGTGGATACTAATGAAGTGCTTACGCTCTGACTGTGTGGCTTGTGCCGATTCCTCTAACTTATATCCATAATCAAGCTAAAAGGCAGTCAGTGTGTTTGCCAACAGGATTTGATTTACGACAAATACACTCATTTGAAAGTCAGTTTGATTTTCACAAGAGACTCAACTGAATCCCTCGTTTATGATATTTTACAACTGAATATACCGCACACAGGCCGCCTCATGATTCAGTTGACACGTTATTCGAGATATCGCAGTATGTTTTCATTTCACTATTTTGAAACGATCTCCTATAGAAGGGGGAAGGAACTTTGCCTCACTGTCTTTAAAACGAACATGCTTTAGGTGTTAATGCCTCCAGATGCAGAAAAACCTAACCATTGTTTTGTTCCGAAGCCATAACATAACAACATCTGGGGACCTTGAAGTGTAGGGCTGAAGAACCTGTAGATGATATCTAAATAATAGTAGTTTATTGGCTGCTGAGTGGCAATTAGGTGCCAACCGACTACATTCGCTCCAGCAAGAGAAAGTATAAACTGAATCTAGATAAATAGAATCTGCGTTTTCTCGTCTCTGAAACATTCAAATGAACCTCGACTGCTATAGTCAAATAGTTAGCCTCTAGAATGTCGCATATTCCGGATCTTTAGCTTCCCAGCAACCGTTTGTGATTACTAATTGTTAAAAACATGCAGAATCCTCAGTCTACCGTCTATCTAGATATTTCACACACAGTATCGACATCATTTTTATCAACCTGTTTGAGGCTCTTGATGTCAGCGGTTCGCTATACCAATTATACCCTATTTTTCACACTGAACAAGGTATCCTTATATCCATTAATTTGTTGGGTACCAATTTTAACACTGAACATACCCACTTAGCTGTGTTCTGAGTTTTCAAACCGCCCGAATTTAAAGGAAAGATGCGTCAACCGTAAGCAACTGTTTAAAGCAGCAACCAAAAGAGCTCTACCTGTTGACGGGCGGTAAACCGTCTCTCAGGAAGACGCATCCGAAGTGAAGCCATCCATGTATTGCAGAATACAGAGTAGCGTATTCGGTTGGCCGAAAATATGAGTACCTCCGAACGATCGATCTTTTCCTCCAAAAAGAAACCAAATCACTCTTTTTCGTGATGGAAGGTTTATTATACTATCAAAATGAACGCAACTTCCAACGGAAAGTGTATCCAGACTTTCGGATGTGGGTTGGGGCATTGTAGGTTGTCCCTCTTTGAGGTAAAGCCGCATAATATGTGCGCATTTCTTAGACAAAATGCAAAAATTTGGAGAAACTTCAAAAACACCCTTATTCATTTGCTGAATGACGTGCAGACTGAGGTAACATACAATAAAAATGTGGTCATCTAGGGTCCACGCTTGCTAGGTGCGTGCGACTGTGTTACTCAATCTTTATCACTATACTGCACATCACTCTATGTTGGTTGATCAGGCAATTTCTCCACCACACCTCCCCGTTCACACAGTTAATCCTGGACGTGACCTTGAGAAGGATGTAATCAGCGACACATCCGGCAATTTCAAACGCATCATGGTGAGCCTACTGCAAGCAAACCGCGATGAAAGTCTCACATTCGACCGAAATGCTGCACGACGGGATGCAGAGGATTTGTATGAAGCCGGGGAGAAGAATCTTGGAACCGACGAGTCCAAGTATGGGTGTTTTACCTCCGATAATGACAGATTACATTAACTGTTGTGTGAACAGATACACTGTTGGACACATATCTACCAGGCATTCCAAGCTCTGAATAGACGCTAAGGAAAAAACACTTTTAGTGGTACAAGCCCAACCTAGTACACGAAAGAGGGGATCGTATTTCTTGGGATATGGTCACTTTAACTGGGAAATTTATTTATAAAAATGGTTTATATATATATATCTCTCTCGCAAGTAGGGTGGTTTCAATCGGCTGTCGTAAAACAGCGACTAAATGAGTTGCTAACCAATGACGTTCGGTTGTAACACTATTTCGGTGCCTAGCTGCCATGCTACCCGAAGGAAGCACGAGGGCTGGGATACTGCCAGGTCGCCCAAGCCTAGACAGGGGAAGTCGAGAGGCAAAGGTTGGGCTCGAATCACGGACCTTCCGGCTAGTAAATTCACGCTCTAACCACTTGAGCCACCTCGCCCCAATGACAATTTTATTCGGAAGTCTCCGGTTACTACTGGCAACATAATACTAACGAGATCTTGAGTTTTTTTAAAAACGGGTCCTGTTATGTTCGTGCAATATCACAATGACTTTAACTGGAGATCGTTAACCACCCGTCTCACTCACTAAATCAAGAGATATCAAAATAGAAGATGGAATGTTGTAAACAAACATGTGACATTATTATTTAAGGGTTAGTGGCGACTGTGACTGCTGCTACACTAAAATGCGTTATCGACGGAAACAACCATGATAGCTACTGCGTACGCTAGTTCTACCAGATGAAAAGAAAAGCTATCAATGGTCAGACAAGAATAGACATAAGATAGGTTATTCCGGCTTGATATAGTGGAGTTGATCTCCTACAATTTGAACACTTCAAAGTAAGTTGACGGAATTGACCGGGAACAACCATGGTTTGTCATTTGTGGTTGGAGATCACCTGGCGTTTTACACATGATACCTGGGTAAAATCCCGAGAATGAATCAGCTGGAGCCTATAAGAAGCCTTCACAGAAATCTAAATTCGTCTAAAGTTCCAAGCCGGAATGTTCCAAGGGGGGTTCAACCTCCTTCAGGGAACTCGAGAAGTGTCAGTCCTCTCAAGATGGATGCGCCTGAACTTACGCCAGCCTAGGATTTTCACTAAATGGATCTGAGATTCCTATCCACTCGTTTTAAGCGTTTAATAGAACCGTCTGTTAGCACTGGAAGATCGCAGCCGGTAATTATTCTGAAAAGTGCATTGTATGTGTGTTTAGTCGTGAACACCAGACTCAGTGTGAAGCCGCGTAGACTTTCCCCGAGGTGTATATCCTGCACTTCAAGGGTCTTAACGGTACCCTAATCTTGAAGCATCTCTTTCATACTACCCAATCACGGATAGGATCAAAGTGCTATTATCACGCAAAATATACCTTCAATGAAAACACAAGGTTATTCAACTCTATTAGTAGTAGCACCCACAGAACTCGTTCATGTTCCTCCATTTTATACCGACAAACGGCAGAAACATTCAGCAGACTGTTTTTGTAGGAAAGTTTAGGGTGGCTCAGACTCATTCCTCCATCTGATGCTGTTAGCGATTGTGGCATTTAGTCACGTGTTTACTCCACTGGTGTATTCGTGTCCAAGATGATGAAGGTAGGCAATAAATTAGGTCTATAGACGTACTCAATTCAGTCATCTGATCAATTGATTTACATTTTCAGATTTAACATGCTCTTGGCGTCAAAGTCATTTGCATACTTGCGTGCTGTTTTTGTGGAATACGCGAACGTCAGCAAAAGCGATATTGAGACGTCCATTAAAAAGGAGATGAGTGGTGATCTTCGCAAAACAATGTTGGCTATTGGTACGTTTGGCAAATTTTGGCTCAATGTTCTCTACCCGTTAAGCGAGTGCAATTAATACCCTTTTGATAAAAAGTGTGAAGAATGTTCCAGTAGAGTAGTAGTAAACGGAAGTGACCTCCGAGTCACTGCGCCATCTGGTACCGATCAAGCCGGCTTCGGCCTCCCGGCATCGGGGGAGTTTACCACATACTGACGACTACAATGAATAAAGAATAGAAAACTTCTCAGGATTCGGACGAAGCGTGCTCGGGGCAAGAGTGAACCGACATCACACTGACATCACACTTGCTGGTTCATTCTGAAATCGAATAGTGAAACGTCTTAAAAATCTTAAAACTTGAAAGACTTAAGATTCATAACGTGATGTCGTTCTTCGAATTATGTATGTTGTCTTTTTGTGTACATTTTGTACACAAAATAATGCATATGCTATCCTTAAGCTCAGCGCCTGCTAAACTCCCTTTATTGTTCAGTTAGTTTTTTTTAAAGAAATTTGTCCCCAGACGTTTACCCTTCTCTTGATTCTTAGAAAGGACTTGGAACCCCAAGAAAAGATCGTATTTGGATGGTATTTTCGCCTACTAAATCCCGCGAGAGACAAGCAAAGTAAAGTCACGCAATTGAAAATAGTATTTGGAGGCTCCCCAGCTTCAGTGCACCTGGTTAGATGGAAGTTTGTGCCAAATTATAGGGAAGTCGGGGGCAGCACTCTTACAACTTGCTGTTTCTGTCTGGAAATTACAACATGGGGTGGAATTTGTAGATGAACGTCTGGTATTGGTTTTAAGCTAAATCATACGTAAGCGCTTTGGAATGGTCTTGTATAGGGAGACCATTGTCTCTTGAGGAGAGAAGCCTGCAATCCTTTTGTTTGGCTGAAATACAAAGCAGTTTGCATTACTTTTTCCTCGTTTATTCAAATTCATTTACGAGCCTACTGATGACTGTACTGTTTATTTTGTATACGGATTTCATTGCATGTTAAGATGAGAAAATTTATGATCAGAAAGGGATATTGTTTGACAGTGTCACAAAGTTACTTGAATCACAAGAGCGTTTATTTTTAGGAAAGGCATCCTGCTTCATTTATTTCTTTTAGAATCCCGCTCACTGTCTCAGATATTCGTTGATTAGTCCTATGTTATCACCGGACATCTTGTTGCGTTGCCTTAATCGTTTTTGATGCCCACCCATCATTCGGTTTTTGGCTTTGTGTATTCCACCTCTAATCATCGTTTTCCAGCGTTGTTTTCAAGTAAGCTTGCAGCATAGTTGATATCTTGTTTCACAGATTCTAACAGTCCAGGACAATGGTTTGACTCAACCCGTTTTCTCTCAGTTGCCTAACTCTTCTACAACATAAGGAAATCACTGAGCTTATCTTTGTGAAGAAAGCAGCTATACTCAGACAGCCCACATACGAAAATTGATTTTCATCTGCTACCCCGATATAAGTAAACTTAAATGATGAGCAATAATAATTTGGTTCCATCCGTGAACAAAATCAATTGGGATGTTTCATATCCATTCTATCATCAACTCTGAAAACATGGCTCATTCTGAAAACTTCAAGAATACACGGCACTCCTTAGAACTAGTGTACGGGAAAATGTAGTCTTGCTAGAATGAGAAACAGTTGTCTCCTTGATGTTCGGAGGTTAACTAATGGGATCAGTTAAAGATGATATCTCCTGATTCGAGTTTCTTCTACAGATGGGTGGGTGATTTAGTAACGTTGCTGATCCGCAGCTCATGGCAGAACAATTGAATGTCACCGGTTTTATACTCCCTAATTTTCATCACATTCACACTATTTGTAACTCTCAGTATGAGTAGAACAGCTCTACACTGCTTATCGGTTCCTCAGCACGGAAAGGTTCTCCTCACTTGCAGGATGGAAATGTTTGAACCTCCCAACAAACTAACAGCAAACCGCAACACAAACACTGATTCAGCCAAATAATGAAAAGCCGAAAATTCAAGCTACTTGTTCCAGTCTTTATTTTGTTTCGTCCTGAAAACCGTAAACAATATCAGTAGAACAAAATTAACAATAAGTAAAGAGAAGATACTTGCATATCTACCAACTTGTTTTTTCTCATATAAGGAGAATTTTTAGGAACGGCAGTGTATCAGTTTAATCTCTTATCGACAATAACAATACTACTTGTTCCAGTCTTTATTTTGTTTCGTTCTGAAAACCGTGAACAATATCAGTAGAACAAAATCAACAATAAGTAAAGAGAAGATACTTGCCTATCTACCAACACGTTTTCTCAAATAAGGAGAATTTTTAGGAACGGCAGTGTGTCAGTTTAATCTCTTATGGACAATAACAATTAGCAATAGAAATCTGTTTTCGTGACGCTACGTGATTTTACTACCTCTTCATGTTTTTTATTAGTACAATGCATTCAGAACAAACAGAGCTACTTCGCTAAGGAACTGATGAAATCCATGAAAGGTTTGGGGACAAAGGATGAGACACTTATTCGCATCATTGTCTCGCGTTGTGAGATGGATATGGGGAAAATAAAGGAAGAGTTTCAAAAGGAAAGCGGGAAGACGCTTGAATCATGGATTTCTGTAAGTAAATGCGTTCCAGATGGTCGAGCCAATTTGAGTTTGTACAGTCTATACAAGTCTATAGACGTTTTGTTTTCCGATGCTTGTGAGTTGCGCCCAGATCAAATGCTTTCGCTTCAACGACAAAATGCTTTGGTACTGCTTTTTTTCAAACATGACGGGGTTTTTTAAAAACACGATGGCCTAAAACTGTTCAATTCCTTTAGCTGTTATTTCTATCCATCGTCCAACTAGTCGGTCATATTTTCCGTGGTATGTCTACAACGTTTACGAAACTGCGGTATGTCGCACACTGCATGGGACGTTTCAGAATGCTTTCCTTAAATAGACCGTTTTCGCAAACAATATCGTTTCATCCTTTTTGTACCGTTTCATGAATGTCAACTGAAACTTAGTTCGTCAGACAACATAATCTTTTGGTTAACTGTAGAAAGTATTTATGATAATGCACCGTGTAGGAGTGAAATGCTTGGAGTCAGTTCATCTAGTTTAACGAACAAGCCAAAGAACACACGCAACTCACGGCGCTTACAGTAATAAGAGGTGGCATGACGATATGCATGTCCCATCTTCTTAGAACTAGCCTTTGAAATCCGTTCGCTACGCTGAGCTCACCTAACACTGTAGGCGCACTTGTCTACTCAAAGCTGCAACTGGGTAACCGATGTGCTCTGCACTCAAAAATAACTGTGCAAGTTGACCTAAGAAATGATATTGCATGAATGCTGTTTGCATTAGCTCACGTTACCCTTTGATAAGCAGTCAAACTGCGATCCACGCAACGTCCTGACGTCTGCATCATGATTTCTAGAAGAAGGTGATGAGCTCGAACTCTTTCATGTCCACATATACAAGCCCTTCTTATTTGGATCCCCATAAAAGAGGCTTTAATATTCGCAATGGTACTACTTAATCATGCAGCAAGATCAGCTGTTTTACTTGGGAATTATGTGACTTTGCTCAAATGTCAAAACACACAGCTTGATCTCAGCTAGTCTGGGCTCTGATAAGGCGATTTCCTTCAGAAAGTGTACACTGACCCTGAACCATAATAAAGTATTCAAGATGGGTTGAACCAACTGGCTACCCCCTACGTAAGCGTAGTTGATGATATAGGATAGGTGAATGTTTTGATTCTGGACCAGTTTGCTTGGGGCAGAGTTCCACCATATCCACACTCATTTCGTACCGTTCATAGGAGTATCACGAAATACAAGTGTTTCGCTGATCAATGCTGATGACTGGGTTTGAATTTACAACCTGTTAATTGATTGTGTTGCAGTGAATCGATTGAGGACAGAAAGTGGGGCTGGGTGGAACAACAAGGATGCGAGCAAATGCCTGGTGGATGGGATGACTGTGGGACATGTCTCACCTGTTTTGATGTACACCATAGTTTGAAAGTTCGTCTTATTCTACAGTGGGGGCGCAGTGGAAGGAACCCGTTGAAGTAATTACTCAGTGTAAAATCGAGTGGCTGCCAAACGTTAACTCATTTTGAACCCGTTGAAGTAATTACTCAGTGTAAAATCGAGTGGCTGCCAAACGTTTAACTCATTTTCATGTTGCCACACTACCAGTATTGTTTTGATGAGCGATGTGGATCGGCGAGCTGACGTTCCAGCTGGAGGAAATGAGCACGATGACAGTTAACCAACTGCCGCTAAAATGCCTCTACAATGGGCAGCGCACGCGAGATCAGTAAGATGAAAATGGAGAATGATTTGAGGTCCGGTTTCCACAACTCGGCAATTTTTTGTTTGACCAGGAGCTCTACCTTGAATATGAATATATATGCAACGCTAATTACCAGTCCAGCATGGAATCTTTCGTTGAGTTTGATGGATGCTAGTTACTTATTCTTGATGAACATCACTTAAGCCACACGGAATTTTGAACTCTAGGACTTTCAAACGTAAACTTAGAGCCAATATCTTCTAAATCCTCGTGAAACCTGACTAGAGTTGTTCTCACACATCACCAAGCATCGGAGATTTCTCCGTACCATCCGATCCAGTTTTATCAACAATGTGGATCAGTCGACTTACAAAAAGATCTAAATTAGTGAACCGTTAACTAAAGCGAACAAGAGAAGGAACTGCGTGAGTTCTCCCGACGTGCGCAGAATTATTTATTGACTCTGGGCACGACAGACAATGAATGAGCCCTGGCGTTTGTCGCCTGTTATAGTGTACCCTTTGGTTTCTCTACAACTGTTTGATCCGGTAATATAATTGTCTTTTCCCATTTATTTGCTTCTAATTTTATTCTACCCAATTTTTTCAAACCTTCCAGGATGACACTTCGGGCGATTATAAAAAATTACTTCTTGCGCTTATTTCTGGATGAGTCATGAATCGTTCACAAATCACTTTTCCGTTTCTTCAACACGTGTTATTTGCAAAGAACTCATCAGATTCACCCATAATATTCATGTAACTTATGTGACACATTCAGAGCATACATACTCCAGACAATATTACACATGTTTATGACAATATAAACCTTCAGATCGAACGAAAACGTGTTCTAACGGACCACAAATGGATTACGTAGTATAGTACCATTCTTACTATTTTTGAAGTGCGGTGAAGCGGTAAACACTGGCTTGTTTACATTCACCGCTGCTAGTTAGCTCCGTCACGAAGAGACTGGACCTTACCGTGGTGTGACGGTTTGCGCACCTCAGCGATCCATTCAGCTATACTGGAGAGTGCCTCGCGACACTCACAGAGTCTCTCATACCAGGTTGGTCAATGGTTAGAGGTCTGACGAACACAGTCTCCTGGCCCTCCAGGTTGGGGGTTGGAACATGTGGCGACTTGTTCCGTAGAAATGGTAATGCATTTGCATTTCCCGCCAAACACTGCTGCCTTGTGGTTAGGCTTTTGAGCCAAAGGCTTTGGTTGAGGACCCTAATCGTCCTCCTGTCTAGGTGTGGGCACCCTGGCAGTATCCCAGCCCACGTACAACCATGAATAGCACATACACAAATAAACTCATGCCACATCGTCATGGTTGCACGGCAGTGAAGCATCGGTGTTGAACACTGATGTCATGCTGTCTATGATGATGATGATGATGATGAGTTAGCTCCATAGTTCTTCATCTGAAAGCCTCAGAGCGTGACTTTCACCCACCTGAGTGCACTTTGGTGCCATTCAGAGTAACACACCGAACTCCTCCACTTTGGTTAACACAATCCAGAGGCGTACATTTAAGTATATATGGCAAAATTAAGGAATAGAATTGAGGTTGAAAGACGTACTACTCATAAATGATAGTTTTCCGCAGCCTCCCTCGTTAACATTTGTAGCCAGGCTATACTGCATTTGGTAAAATCTCATCATATCCACACGTTTCCATGTGATGACCAGTGCAATTTTTGCCTCATCTATAGCTCATTCGTGCGCATTTCTGTCTGACAGCATGTCTACTGTGAAGTTATGAGAATTAAGAGTAAAGAAGCGATCGGTTGAGACCGACTTGGGAATCCCTTGATGCTGGTAAACTCATGAAAAATTACCGCGTGATGTTTTGTTTCATCCATCGGTCGGGCGATGAACCAGTACAACGCTATCTTCAGAGTACAACTTCACACAGAATCCGCTAAACAGAATTCTGGATGCTCATCTAAGTGGTTAACCTATATAAACCAAAGGATGGATAAACTGCAGTGGGTCGGTGTCGTGCATGTTTCACGTCGTCCCACATATCTTGGAGGAAACTGCAAACGGATTGTTGCTTTCTTTCCCATTCAACTACTGGAGAAAGTCTTGGGTTCTATAAAATTCACGCTTACATTAATCTCAGTTGACCAGCCGGCCTCCTGTCCTGGAGTGATCACTCTGGTGAGTCCATACCAAAGTAAATACGGTTGCCTCCCATTGAGCAGATCATATGAATGGGTCCATCTAAAATATCTTTTCTGAATGGTGGCTTCTCCTGAGATAATATCATTCAAAAGCGATTAAAAAAGTAAAAACAACATTTTTGAGAAGCAAACCTGACGGCAATATGTATAACAAGCTTCTTATCATAAGGCTGTTGCGGCTCTGAGAATGGAACTACAGCTCTGAACAGTTTTCAGATACAAAATACAGCGACTTGTCTAATTATCAGATACAAGGGAACGAATAAGTTAATCTCAAACCAAGTTGACAGACTGTAGTACCTACATCATAATATACCTCATCAAAATGCCGGTCAGTACTACAATTTCTGTAAGTTTTTCCACTGTATCCTATAAACTTAAAGTTAGTCCAATGACGAAAACGCAGATTTGAGTTCCTTGACCAAGAATTCGTCTGGTGAACTTGGGACCAACAGTCTTATTACATCATTGCATGTGTAGTATTTTGGTTCTATCTTGCGTGAGTTTCTCACTAAAGTTTGTCTCAAGGAGTGACCTTGATCCAGGTTGACCGGTAGATTCCCCATGGATTCAAAATTCCTTGGTAGTGGTTTCACGGTTCTTAAGGGTTTCGGAAATCTGCTTGCGGCAAGCTGCCAATTTCTCAATGGATGTGAGTTGCTTAAGAATCAGTTCTTAATCTTCTACTCATACCTACTTTTTCAAGCCTGAGTGAGTTGTTTGGATTATTCATCTCACGTGCCAGCTGATTAGCAGTACGTTTTCTGAACCAAGTGGCCATGACACGTTTTGAAAGACACCTGTTTTTGTTTTAGAGCCAAATTTTGTTGATCAGTACGTTGAAGACACATTAAGTCACCAGATGTGCCGACAAAAATCGCTCTGGCAAGAATGTGGACGTTGAAGTCTAGAGTGTGGAGTTAACAGCTCGAGTAAATCAAGTCGGCAGATTGACTCATTTCTCTGAGCAGTATATTATACACGGTTTTGAAACACCCTGGGCCCAATTGTCTGGTTGATTTTGACTGTGAAACTTTTCTTCAAGACGATGGTTCGATATTCTGCCCCATTCGCACTAGTGAGTACCCGCCTGAGGATATGTGGTGTAGGTCACACAAGCATGATTTATGCTACTGCTGTGCACTTTGAGCTGTACGTTCTGCTTCGCAAAACTTTTAGTATGTATTAATTCAGCCATGGTCACGGTCGCTCACTGGGTGACCGGTCTGAATAGATAATATCATCAACCCACCCTCATCGAATACTGGCTACTTTGCTGCTTCCCATAACTTCAGTATTTACACAAAAAACAGATGGAAGTCTGGTCATGATATATTGACGAAATTTGTTCCAATGAGTGTCTGGAGGCTTACGTCGACTTTATACTTCTGGCAAAAATCAGCCCGCGCGTAAGGGTGTTTGCGTCAGACAAGCCATTCGAAAAATGATCGGGAGGGCCGAATAGTGAAAATTAAGTTAGTAAAAACAAGTAAAATATTTCTTCAAATGACAGATATCAATAGGTTAGCACTTTCTTAATATTGGGAATCTGAAGGTGTCTTCATCCGGTTAAACAAGGCATCAGTCGAGAAACAGTGTTCATGTGACCAGTGCAAGCAGTAATTTTCTGTAGTCTCCGCTGGTGTCATCCTGAAATAGGGGTAAATTGCGTCAGACTTGCCAGGACCGTGCTCGGTGAGAAAATGGCTACATTCCAGTTTGAAATAAGCGAAGGAATGGATCGAAGGGATGGGTCGAACTTAAGGTTTTAGTAGGCTTGATTTATCATCATTTGAAAAAAGTTCAAAATAGAACAAAAATCGTGAAACTTATTGTCACACAGTGCACAAACTAGGCTTCACACGGAAAGTCTTGTAGGGAAAACACAGAGCCACTGTTTTATTTTCTCAGGTGTCTCACAAGAATGGGCTATTTAGCTCATCCAAGTAGCAACCGAACCGCTTCATACAAGTCCACTGTTACAAGGAGGCTTAATTTCACCCAAACTTTTAACGGACCAAACAACGCGCACCACGAACTGACGATACTTACCGACCTGTTAAGCTTGACGTGCCAGTACAATTGGAAGCCTTACTCACATTAGGGGACGCATCGAATCTGCGTAGTTCTAACTTCAAAAATGCTATTCCTACGTGAACAGGCAACCAGTATAAGTTTGGCTGCCTTGTTTGTTTGGCTGAGAATTGGAATTTGTACTTCACTGTTTATATGCCTATTTAAACTGTTATATCTGCTGATTCGCCAATCTGTGGTATCTGCTGCTGACCCGCTCCAGTGCCTAGTGTCGGAGAGAAAAGACTCACAGAAGGGAACACGATGGCTGTATTCCGAGCAAGCGAGTGAGTGAGAATGCAAAAGTTACAACGGCCCCACGCTATTTAAAGGGGACTTTCTGACATTGATCCAGGCTGTCCGATAGGCGTTTGTCATCACCCATCAACATCGATCGTGCCTCTGTGAAAAGCCTGAATGCTGATCACATTCGGTCGTGCTTCTGTGGCGCAGAGAACACTCATCAGGTTTTACTGAATTGATCGAATGATTGACTGGCCTGGATGCTTGCCGGCTTTCCAGTTGAGCTTTTGGTGGAGCAGTAGGTTCCGGGCGTTCAGAAGTTGATTTCAGGAATCTGACCTTCCTGATATAAACCGTTCAATTATCATTAGAATTAAGCTACTTTAGCAACTTTGCATTCACTACTCGAATTCACTCTATAATCCGTTAACACCCTTGGCCACAGTCCCATGGGTCGGAATTACAGGGCTGAATGCGCTCATCCATGCGCGTTGCACACCTACTGTAGTTTTAACTTAATCGTTTTAAAGGTGATTGGCAAGTTTTCTTTTTTTACTCTGGTGGGCAGCCAGTTGGTTACTTGGTTTCGTTCGTTATTACTGAGTAAGTGAGGTTCTAAAATGGATATCGCAACCAGTCTCTAAGACTAGCTGAAAGTTAAGATTATTTCATTCAGAGAGGTCTGTTCTCGGTTTAACAGTTTGCATTTGTATAGTCGTGGACATAAACGCTGGTGTTTCCTTCGGCCTGCCTGGGCACATTATCAAGCGTCGTCTGGATTAGCCTTGTCTGTAAATGGCTATCGATATATATCATACTGTTCTGTCCGATTCTATACACTCCTCTTCTGTTTCTTACAAATAAGCATTTACCTAACTCAGGAAACAAGCACCTAAGTACCAAGGACTAATAAGCCAGCAGTGGTTTTCATGAAAGGAAGAAGGCCTTCGCTGCGGAGTTGGTAATCTATTCTTGCAGCAACAGCTCTTCCTATTTTTTTCCGTACGGCTATTGACATTCTTTAAACTGAGGGCGAGTCGCGACATCGCTTGTCAATAGCACCTGAACACGGATGAATTCGAACGCTCTTTAATTGAACCAGGTACACAAGGCAGTGAAGGCGCAAGAGGCAAGCGCCTTTCCAGGATACTGATCTACCTGTTCCACTTGGTCGGTTGTTCTATGTGAAAAGAAAATCCTCTCTGGAATACAACATGCACTAATACATACGGCAGAGGACTTTATAAGTTAGAAATATTTCCAGAAGCCATATGAAGAAGTACGTAGTTGCCAAATGATTCTCCTTTGTCTTGGAAGTTTCAGGTCACGGGATATTACAGTTCCCGAGCGAATCATGCGGCTCAGTTTACCCGAAAACTTCGAAAAGGTAAGCGAAACCACCGATAGACAGCTGACCAGAGCTATCACCCAGAAAGTGTCCCGACGTGCTATGTGCTGATAGGCTTTACCTGATGGGTTCACTTTTCTATTGACCAGATCAGGCTTTAGGTCAAGAAGGATATCTCGAAATCCTGAAAGCATCGAACACAGTGTCATTTAAATAAATCTGCGAACGATTTTCCAACATGCAGTTTAAAAAATTGTGAACTTTTGTTTGCGGGTTCCTAGATCAATGCTAAAATCGATTTCATTACACTAGTACGTGATCAGATGGTCCCCTGAAGCAATTCTGGACTGATCCGTTCTGATCCAATAACAAGCTACTTTACTCAAGCCCGGTCACGTGCCACTCCGTCAGTTGGTCAATTTCTGTCCCTGAACTCGATCAAATCAACATCGAAATCACCTGATTTCAATAGCTGTCACTTCTGCAGCATAAACAATATGACTTAAGTGGAGAGCAAAACCGTAGCTAGATAATTGATCAAACTCATTGACCATCTTGTGAGCTGTTACATGACCCAATGGGACACCAAACTAAATACAATAGACAGCATTATGCTTTTGCGAACAAACAGTTAAAGAAAATTGCCAGCTAACCATCACGACGAATGTGGAGTGTTCCCAAACTTTTTCCAATTGATTGGATTCGGAATATTCTTTAAAATTACGAGGCGGATAAAGTACGAAGTGGATTATGAAGAGTCCCGGTGTTGTTGACGCTGTTCGTCCTTCAAAATATGGTCCATGTGATTCTCTCCGTATCTGGCTGGAGGCACTGCAAGAAATGGTGGCCAGCAGATGTCAATAGCGTTTCAGTTTGTCCGACTGAGTGCTTGGGGGTGTCTACACCTCAGAATGCTTGCTAGAGGCCAACATCAGGTCCCTACTTCCCTCGTTTCTCTTCTTTGCACTTTAAGGCCTTATTTATAGTTAAATAAACAAACCGTTTGTGTGGTAGTAAAGCATTAACGTCAACACTAATGTTATTGTTTTTGCTGATGGTGACGATTTGATACTAGATCATATTGAGGCTACTGCTTCTATGCTGTAGTTACGAATAAAAATTGTTGGCGTCGGTTTTTGTGTGTGATGTTGAATACAGTCCCCGTCACAAACACGGTATAGGGACCGTACAAAGTATTAAACAATTGGATCACTAGCTCAATGGAATAAGAAGAAACAAAAATGCCTTTAACTGAATCACTATTATAGACCACAAGTTCATACAAGGACTGATAAAATAAAAAAATTGCGTTGGAACCTGTTCTCACTTAAATTGCAATGGAAGACTTGCACAATCCCATCACCATATAAGAAAGCCTTGAGTAAATGTTGCGATAGCTACTGCTCGTGACAAATGATTCACGCGGAATCATGCAATATAAGGTGACGATAGATTTTCTCTTACGCGTGTGCCTTATCGTTTCTACATTTAAAGAACTTCGGTCACACTTCAGTCCCTATAACCATCATAATTGACAGCAATGCACCAGTAACACGTACCAGCGCTTAACTTCCAGGAGGCAACTATGGTTTTACGATGTATCGATCGAATATCGATCGAGTATGGATCAGCAGATGCACACGCAACCTGTGCGACGCAAACGTTCATAGAACATCCAGGTCACTTCATCGAAGCTTCAAGAAATCACCTTGCTTGCTGCATTAACCTTTCGAAAGCTTATGGCTGGTATTGTGATTCTCTCCAATGGCCATACCGAGCTTGACGAAATAACTTTAAATCCGGGTTGATCAATTGGTTTTCTCACTCCAGAGACGTTTGTGGGGCACGGACACAGTCCTCTGGAGAGTAGTGGATTGTATATTGTGCAGAAAAAAACTTCATCAACTTTAAAAGCTGAAGTGATATCGGACAGTAAGCAATAGGGGTGTTGAGAATTAAGGTACTTTTACTTTACTGTTTTAGGGGATTCCACATCCTAGAATTACTCAAACAACAGCCACTGTTTCATCATATGGTTTGATGAAAATTTTAAGACAACTTACAGTGATCCACGATTCCAAAGATTTGCCATTCTCTTTCTGGAACTCTTCTTTGATTTTGGCCATGTCGATCTCGCACCGAGACACCACAAGCCTAATGAGCGCCCGATCCCTTGTTCCAGCGCCTTTCATGGCATTCTTCAGGGCATATGCAAAGTATTTTGGCTTGTTTCGAATGCAGCGCACTGACGGGAATGAAAACGACATCATGGAAAACAGTTAGTTAGAATTTCGAGTTTCAGGAAAACAAATTGGACGGCAAACTGGGGTGCCGCCTTGTGGAGTACACACTGATGAAAATTATGAATAATTGTCGTTAGGGGCCCACTGTACCAAGTAAGTTTCCCCAGGTGTTAATCAGAGATGAAGGTGAATATTCGTTTCACATTTTGCCTAGGTTTTTCTGATGTATTTGGGAAGAAGAAATAGTTCAGATAAATGGGCCTAATCAGTGTTCGTACCATTGCCAGAATCAACTGTTTCAACCGTACGTAATTTAGTCTGACGCTTGCGGTAGCAAAGCTACTGGCTCTCTTGTGTTGCATTCCCCTCATTCGAGCCTTGAGACGCAGGTCCAAGACTATCAAGCACGAGTTCGGGTTGGTAGTTGTTGTCCCATTTACTTACATTATTCCAGGTGTCTGAGAGGCGCCACGTGTACCTTCAACCAACAGTCGTGGTCTTCGTGGACTCTCAAACAGCCTCCCACTCTGTAGATACATTGGCTCTCCTAAATATTTTTGGCCAGAGAGTGATACCCTTAAGTTACCAAACTTTATCCATGTTCTTTATTCCCATCCATTCAGTCGGCTTAGGAATTAAAATGCAGAAGCCTCCCACCAACCAGTGGATTCTCATCACGTTTGTCCCTTCTTCGCTTTTTTGTTCAACTTTGTCATCGACATTATCGTGGATTACACAACCCAAGGGACCACGAATCTGGGTAACAAATTCGTCTCTGACGAGAGACCAGTGGACTTGGACTATGTGGTTGACATCATCTTTTGTGTGACGATTATCCATTTTGCGCAAAGCACATTCAACAGACGCATGTTTCGGCACGCGCTTCGCACCTTCAAAGTGTCAAATCACACTTGGAGATTCTCTATCGTCTTATGCTTTTCTGAAACTTTAGAATAAAGTGCATCAGTATGTTCACCAACTCACTTAACTTGGCAGCCTCACAGCCGTTATTTTACTATAAGCGATGAATTCAGTGGGGAAATAACCAAGCCACGAGTCGCATTTGCCCCTTGTGTCATTTGTGCCGTCATGAAAGACTATCGATGAAACTAAAAGGCTTACATACAAGACATCTGTAAAGACGTTCTTGTTTTATGGCCGCGGAACTTGGCCTTTCCGATATGAGGTTCTTAGGCTTCTTCATACATTTGATCACCTTTGTCTCCACAGCAGGATGTAGATGACCTCTGTGATAACTTACTGGTGTGAAGGATGACACTTGCAACTCATCAGACTATTCAGAGAGGCCGATTAATCTTATTGGGTTAAAGGAGTTGGGGTACACACAACACGTGCTCAACCGCCGTCTAGCCAAGAAAGCGCCTTTTCTTGTCCCAAGCCATAGTTTGTGAAAGGTTCGAAGGAGACAGGCAACGATATGGCAGCGTGAAGTGAATGCTATGAATTCTTCACGCCTTCCTGTCCCTGATCAACACGATCCACTTTGTACGTGGTTGGAGCCTCGGCAAGAAATGACATGCAACCGATCCCTGTAGCACGCATGCTGGAAAGGCTTACAAAGGAAGCTGAGTCAATCCCGCATGTAACGACTAACTTCAGCGTAATACTCAGATGCTGCCGAAGGGTGGGGCACCTAATTCTTCGCCTTCCCTGAGGACCAGGGACTTCTGTACACCAGGTTCTCCCTTCTGCCTTTTACTTTTTGCTATGGCCTTCTTTTCTCTCGTTTGTGTGGCATTTAAGCACCATTATATACTGCTGGTGGATTTTATCAACAATGATGATGATCATTACATTCACAGATGTTGGAAACTCACTGTTCTCATTATACCAAGGCCAGGCCAAAGGTATATACTTATGTCCTAATGCGGAGTTACGCTTGAAGAATTCCTAAGTTAAAAGTGCTTACAGCACATTATCAAAACTCATAATTTAGGTTGATCAGGGGTTGATGTGGAATTCTTCACAGAAAATAGAACTCTAGACAACCATTACTCACCAACTGCCAGCATTGATCTCAGCAGATCACCACTCATTTCAGATTTGAGAGCCTGCTCAATATCTTTCCTGCTCACTTTTGAATACTCATCGAACACAGCACGCAAGTGTGGAAAAGATCTTGAGGCTAGAATTTTGTTGAACCTGAAAAGCAACGAAGAATAATGGAGTAAGCTTCGTTCAAAGTTGTAGCCTAATCTAGTTCACTCCTCATTTCTATTTCTTAACTCAACGACATTATGTTCATATATTATTATGGCCGTCTTATGTCTTTCAAGTAGAGGAGAATTGGGCCTCGGAGAATCGGTTACTGTATTCTGGGGATGAAATGAAGAGAATGCAGTCTTCTGCGAGAGCCCAACAATTCGGCTTCCGTTTGGACCCACCCAATAGCAAAACGCAATATCCCTAAGTCTATATATTTAGATGGTCACGCAGGTCCTTTTACTACAATCTTCTTCTTACGGGAGTAGAAAATGTGGCTCCCTGCTACACATTTATTCGGTTAGGTTTGTGAAAAATGTGAACATCTAACTTGTGTTGAGTGCAAGGAACTTATGGTAACCTGACTTCTACATCTCAGTGGACAGTGCCTCAAACTGGGGGGGGTTCATTTTTAGGGCACTCACTGAGATATAAATTAGCTTACCTGTCTGGTCAGAATTCGACTTGGAGCCCCTTGTCGATGGTTGGAGCACTAGGTTTCCAACAGTACTGGTTTGGTAACCAAGCCTACGGATGAGACTTCGATCAATAGATTTCGAGGTGTGTCCAGTAAAAAGTTTTATATAATGAGGCTGATAGGGTTAATATTGCTGCTTTTCATTGAAGATTTCCTATCCGTGAGGTTGGTGGTTTCGGGGCTGAAATTCCGTTATACGATCATTCTAAGTGAAATACTGGTAAATCGCTTTGATAAAACTGTGGGACAAAACTGCATGTACAATGTAATGGTT